TGACTTTTCCTTTTACAACTTACTATCTTTTTTAAATTTTGTTTTACAGGAGCCCAGAGTCGAAAGACTTTGAACTTCTGAAGAGACTTTGGAATATTAGAGAGGCTTTGGAATTTTAGAAAGGATTTAGATATTTTAGGGAGGGCTTGAACTTTTAAAATGTTTGAACTTGAAAAGAGGGGAGCAGAGAAAAATGTATAACTCAATAAAAACAATAAAAATGTCTGTAGGAATTTTAAAAGTTGGAATGTTTAGCATTGTCATATTAAGAAGACATCTTGGGGACAACAAGAAAGTCAGCATTGCACTGATACCAAAGACACCGTCAAAGAGAAAAACTAAAGATCACTATTTTGATGAACAAAACACAAATAATTTCAATGGAACACCTTTGAACAGAATTTAATAGCTCACTCTAAAAAACAAGCAAAAGCAAACAAACAAATAAAAAACATGCATCATGATCAAGTTGGTGACATCCCAGGGATACAAAGATGATTTGATATATTCACATCAGCGTAGTGATTCATGAAAGACAAAGTCGCAGGAACATCTTCTTAGAGGCAGATCGGCATGTACAAAATTCAACATCCCTTCCCAATGAAAGCCCTAAAGAAACCGGCTGTAGAAAGATAATACCTCAGTGCAATAAAGGCTAATACAGACTTGTGGCAAACAGTGTTTTGAATGAGAAAAAAACTGAACAAGACTGAAAAATGAGGGTGTTCACCTCTCATTCTTATTCGTTACAGTGTCTGAATGTTTAGTTAAAGCAGTAACGTAAGATAACATAATAACATAACACAGGAAAGGAAGAAGTCAGACTCTCCTGTGTGCAGATTATATGTCCTGATTTAGAAGAATGATGGTCTCCACTAAAAGGCTTAGAACTCACACAATGGGACACAGAATAAGGGCTCCTTTTTAAACAAGACAAAACAAAACGAACTTCTTACTTTTTTCCTTTTGAAATAACTTCACTTGAGTTCTATATTTACATCATTTCCACCTTCTTTAGTTGTAGTTACACACATACACACACACACATTCACACACATACACACACACACAGATACACATACACACACACATACACACACACATACACACACATACACACACACATACACACACACATACACACACATACACACACACATACACACACACACATACACACACATACACACACATACACACATACACACACATACACACATACACACACATACACACACACATACACACACATACACACATACACACACATACACACACATACATACACACACACATACACACACATACACACATACACACACATACACACACACATACACACACATACACACACACATACACACACATACACACACACATACACACACATACACACACACATACACACACACACACATAAACACATCCTGTGGAAAAAGAAGCACACAAATCCCATGCACAGTGCTCTAAAGATAATGAAATACTTAAGAATAAACCAATGAAAGTATAAAACTAGGAAAAAAGAAATTGAAGGTGACATGGGACAGCAGAAGAACATCTCCATGTTCATGTATCAACAACGTACCTTATTACATCTCCATGTTCATGTATCAACAACGTACCTTATTACATCTCCATGTTCATGTATCAACAACGTACCTTATTAAAATGGCCACTTTATGCAGTTCCTGTCAACACACCAAGGGTAACCATTATAGAACCAGAAAAACAAACAAACAAACAAAGAAAAACCAGTCCTGAACTTCATGTGAGAGTGTCAACTGCTCTGATGTGCTAAAACAGCCCTGAGCGAGAAGAGCAGTGCCAGAGGTAGCACAATGCCTGATTTCAGACTTTGCTGCCTAGTCATTGTAACAAAATCAGCCTTGTCCTGGCACAGAGACAGACATATATGCCAACAGAATAGAGCAGAGTGTCCAGAAATAAGCCCACCCCGTGTCAAACATCTAATTCTTGACAAAGAGCACTAACAATAGGTAGGAGAAAGAGACAACATCTATAGCAAACAGTGCTTGGGAAAGTGGATATCCACACGTTGAAGAATAAACCTACACACTAATCTTAGCTCTTCGCGAAAAATCAACTCAAAATGGATCAAAGACCTAATGTACGAAACGAGGCTGGGCAGAGAGTCAAGTGTTTGCTATACAAGTTCAGCTCCCCAGGACCCATTTAAACCTGGAACGGTGGTACATTTCAGTTCTTTGTACATTTTGGGAGGAAGGTCACAATAAATACTTGCAAACACCTCACCCCGACCCACCCCAGTTTTCTCCCTGACTTTTCATTCCCTTAACAGATTTTTTTTTCAACAGCAGCAGTTCAATTTCTTTTTGCATGTAATGATTGTTATATCTAAACTCTCAATGCCAAGATTTTCTTCCATGTGCTTCTTTGTCTATTGACTTCTATCAGCCAGATGATGCCCCGTTGTTTTTGAAAAGATTTTTGCACAAGCTCTCTGACATCTGGGACTTTAGATAACAAGTTCCCTGAGTAGGCAGACAACAGCTCTGAAAGAGAGATCATAGTCCTCACAGGGGCAGCCTGACCTTGGGTGGCATAGTTTAGTTTCTGTTAGCTTTGTGGTTTAACCTGGATTATTATTATTATTGTTGTTGTTGTTATTGTTATTATTACTATTATTTACTGGCTTTTTGCTTTCTCATTACAAATTCACTTTGCTTCCTAGGTACCACAAACTCCCGCAGTGCAATGGCTCTTCTAGAAATGTCAAGGGCACCGCAGTTGTAGAAACCCTAAGGTTATCTCTGTTTCTTCCCGTAGGGGAGTGAAAAGCGAACACTTGAACCAACTTTCCTGCTTGCAGTAACCTGCGTTCCGCGTAACCATGGAGACCACAGGCTGCAGCTGGGCCAAAGGGACAGGGGGTTTGGAGCCCGCAGTGAATGTCTAGGCCTTCCCTGTGCACCGTGGAGACAGGCGACAACGCAGGGGTCGGAGTGGAGTTGTCCGCCACCCCGTGGCCACAGGCTGCGCCTCCGCGTCCGGGCTCCGCCCCACCCAGCGCCCTGGAACCCTGCTGAGAGCCCCGGGCGTGCAAGCGGCTGGCGGCTGCAGGACCCTCGGAGGCGGGCGGCAAGGCATGGCTACGCGGGCCCGCGGCTTCCTGCTGCTCCGGGGCGGCCTTTGCCGAGGGCCTGCGAGGGCCCCGGGAGGAGCCGAGCGCGCGTGGCGGGGCTTCGGGAGCAGCGGCGTGAGGTAGGGGTTGCGGGAAGGGGCCGCGCGTGGGAGCGGCGCGGCCTGGCGGGGCCCTGTGGAGGCCCGAGCTGCTGGGCTCCCGCCCGGGGCCCGAACTCCGGGTCCTGCTGCGGCCGAGGGGCCGCAGTGTAAGGAGCGCTGGGCAAAGGGCTGGGAGCCTGGGGCAGCTCGCTCGGACCCTGGGTTTGTTCAGGTTGTTACTGTGCCAGCGAGAGTAGGCGCTGTGTAGACAGTTGGGGAGCGTTTCGCTTTCGGTATTCCTTTGTCAGCGGCTTGAAATCTTTCCCACATCTGAATGTCTGTCTTACCGGCTTCACAAAACTGCACGTGAATGCTGGCCTCTCAGCCTTTCGCTGGCACCTACCAGCCTTCCCCAAGTTGTCAGTCTTTTGCTTTCTTTGATCCCTTTGGGTTTGGTTGCTGGCTAGGACAATGAAAGGACACCGTGGTGCCCAGGAATAGGCCATCTTGCCTCAGCTTCCCTTGTTTGTGGGACAATCCAACCTATGGAACAATTCATCGTGTCTTGCCCAGGGCCAGTGAGTTCAGAAAAACTCATTTGTACACTTTCCGGGATTCCAGGTGGTGATATACTGTTACCACTTTGGCTGGAACTCGCTTGTCATTTTATATTCACTTTGTGTCCCCAAGGTCCAGGATAACACTTGGAGGAAAACAAGCAATGGCGCGGTGCACATAGCTGTTGTCTAACTCCCTTCGGATACATTTGGGTCTTAGTCTTGAGTCACCGAAATTTAAAGTATTTCCTGTAGTTTTTACTTCGAAGATGGTTTATAGTGGTCTATAGAAGGAAATGTGAAAATGATCATGGTTCAGAACTGTACTGTACACTGTAGTAGTGTCGGAATTTGCTGTTTCGCTTGACAGCGCCAGTCTGCTCTGCTCCCTAAGAACAGGTTCTGTAGGATTCCGTTTGCGTTATAGAATTAAAGGGCTTATCTACTAACGGCATTCTATTTAAGTTATTATCCGTGGAATTTCAAGTTTTTAGCACTCCCTCTAGGAAGGATAATCATTTTGTAAGTGTACAAGTTGAATAATTTCTCCTCATCGACACAGTGTCTCTGTTTCCCCGTTTGCTCCGTGCCCAGTGCCTACCGAAGGAGTCGCAAACAACAGTCAGGGTCCCAAAAGTTGATTATAGCCGCATGCTTCATACACAACACACACAGGTATCGCCCATCCGCTTATGGAGATTTCCCATCTTGTAATTTGTGTTTTTTTTGTGGGGAGGCCCTGGGTTTGAACTCTGTTATCGCCCACACGGAGAAGACATTTAATGGCCTCCTTACGATTAAGAGTAGCCAATGCAGTGAAGTGTGATGATGGAAGTTGAGCCTGCCTGTTTTCCATGCCGTTTGATGTAGATTACAATTACGTGGGGGGAAAAAAAGCTATTTGTAATGGTTTTATTTTTAATATAGCATGAGTCAAGTTAGGAAAAGATAGTGTTTTTATGTTTATTTCTTTTGACACTGAATGCCACACCTGTGGGTGTGGTTGGCTATAGTGACGAGAAACACCAGTAGAGCGGTGTATCTCGGGTGGGGAGGAGTTCGGACAGTGTGTTGATGCTTATTGGTGTCTCTTTTCTCTTCTAGGGCCAGCAGAGAGAAGAGATTCCATCTTCCAGAGGTCGCCTCTGTCTGCCTCCCCACTAGTGACGCTTTCTTTGTCTGGTCCCTCACAGTGATTGTCACATGTTAATAGCATTCCTATTGACATGAAATTGGAACCATAGTGTATTTTTCATTGGAAATTATCCTTGAGTTTGATAAACTCTTTCCCCAATGATATTAACTATTTTAAATGAACAAATTTATCACACTTTTGAGCCATTATACTCTCAGATAAAAAAGATTTTCAATTTTTTATATTTCTTGTCTAAGTAGACAACTATAGTAACAGAACATAGCTAAATATTTTTATATGGATGGTTATTTGTGAATTTCAAGAATAATATTTGATAGAATTTGGAAGCTATATGATCTCATAATATTATTTACCATTTATCTTGCAACAGTTTTCCCTTTAAAATTCATCATGAGTTCTTTCTGTTTATGCATGAGAAATTAGAGCTTAATAATGGAGGGAAGTTAATGTCAGCACATACGCTTTTCTATTCTTCAAGCTTCTCTTGTTGCGAAATGAACTACTTACATGGTCAAAAAGTTAGAACAACATTCTTTGTGCTTAAATTATTCTGTCTTCCTGTCATGTGTGTGACTCTGCACCTCAGAATGGCCTTGGATGGAAACAGCCCCTGAGACTCGGGCCAGTGCTTCTCAGGGTAAGGCTCTCAGCAGCTGCCTAGCCCTTGGGGCGGGGATGTCACACACTTTCACAGTACCCGACACCAGGTTCACAGCAGACCGGCCGCTAAGTTAGTTCTCCACAGCTTGTTAGTTCAGTTCTCCGTGACCCACCCCTTTCCAGTAGCTCGGTGGGGTCCCCTGGATTGCCCCCTGGTGCTTACGCTGCTGCTCAGTGGTTTCTCAAGCCAACGATTTTGTAAATTCTCTTTTTGGTCTTGAAGCATCTATAAAATTTTGAACGCCAGCCGACAGCTTTTCGTACAGCCTCACCTTGTTTTACGCTCCACTGCTGAAAGCTTTAGAATCTGTGCTGCAAATCTAGCGTTTAAAAAGCCCCCGTTTGGGGAGTCAGTAAGAGATACTGGTGTATGTTATTTAACTAAGTTTGAATAGGTAGTCTAATAGTTTTAGAAAGACCGGTTTTCATAGTAACCGTGTTCATGCCTTAAGACTCTCCATCCGAGTACTTTCCCAAGATTTGCATAGAGTTATTATTTGGTAAATCTCCCCTGACGCTTGAAGGACCTAGACTCCAATTAGGACTATTACGAACACTAATTTTATACAGATTGATTTCAGTCAAGAGAGAGCTAGTCATAAAGGTTACAATGCAGTTTCTCAAAATAAGGCTGTTTTCTTAGCAGAACTGATCTTTATTTCTCCTTCAACGTTAGTTACCTGACTACAGTTTTGTTTTCCAAGCCAGTATGCTGTTTTTTTCATTTAGAAACTAAAGCTAAATGTTGCACCATTTGCTGTCTCCTATTTAAACTTCATCTTTTTAACTAGGTCCCAGCTGTCCAGAGATAGCTTACTAATGCGGCATCTTCACAATCAAGTTTTCAGATTAGCAGTGTTAGGTCATGGGCCTGCCCCTTTAAAACTCTGGTCACTTTAAGAGGCCAGAGCCCACAGCCTGAAGAAAGCAGGCCACACTTCCTGCAACCCTGTGGGACAGTTAAGAAGTCCTGCTGTATTGTGTTTTCTTAGCTCCCAATCTGTGGTCCTGACCTTGCCTGACTTCTCCAAGCTCCTTATCAAGTAGCTGCCTGAGATAAAACCGTGTGGGGTGGGGCTTCCTGCCAGCTCTAAAAGGGTATGAGAAATAGTCTCTCTCTCTCTCTCTCTCTCTCTCTCTCTCTCTCTCTCTCTCTCTTTGAGAGTTTTCTCTGAAGCTCCTTGTAAGTCCCCCTCCCTATCATCCTGCAGAAGGGATGGCTCTCTAGTTTTTTTGTCCCTTCCAGATTGCAAAGAAAATCCTCTCTACCCTTTTTAAGGTCCCATTTCTGATGTCTCTGATGCACTTTACTGTCCTGTCACATACACATACATATGTGTGTGTGTGATATCATACAGGAATGTATATGTACTTGTTTTCTAAAATAATATTTGTTTGTGGCCTTGGAAATTCTATGCAAGTATAATAACCAGAGAACTACACCCTCAGATTACAAAATATACTTACTTTTCTGAGCCAGGTCTCACAATATTGCTGGCTGGCCTGAAACTCTGTATTGGCCAGTCTTGCAGAAATATGACTGCCTGTGCCTCCTGAGTATTGAAATTAAAGGTTTGTACCGCTATGCCTGGCCAAAATACGCATTCTTAAACTCTAAGAATAAACAGGTTTATACCAATTTTCTCCCATTCCCTTAATGGAGCATCCCATAGATAGAATTGCGGGAATCCATAAACCTGGAAGGGAGGTCACTAATACTGATCAATTCAGCATTTCTTTCCTTGTACACGTTGGCAACAGATGACACTAATATTATCATCAGTCAGTATGCGTGAGGTTACTAATACACAGAAATATTTTAACATCACAATGGATAAGATACCACAAAACATCACCTATACTCATTACTTTGATATTACCGTACTTACTGTAAGACTTGCCCCTTGTGCCATCTCAATAAAACTGGCTTCCCTTGTAACTGTGTATTCACATTTGAAACCATTCCTCTGAGAAAGTACAAAGACTTCTGCAGATGAGCCAGGCGTTCTCATGGTGACTAAGTCTTTTCTGGAAAAGTAGGTATATAAAAATATGTAGTATTTTTTGGTAATTATTAATTCTTTGGTTAGATTTTAGGGTTCTAAATTGGCAAGCAACAAAATTGACATTGGAATGAATCATACATGATGAGCCTTGCTTTGCTTTATTTATTTTTGATGATTTACAAATACATGATTTTTGATTAAATTGCTTCAAGGTTTGTGTGAAGTACTTAAGGTGGGAAATGAAATGCCTATATAAAGGTCGTGAACTTAATTTTTCATTACTATTTGTTTACTTTTAAAATATCCCACAAAAGGCTCAGTGTTGTTGTACTATGAGCATGATTAAATTTATTCCATATCTTACTTTGCCTTGGTTCTCTTGGATATTTTTTAAGGCAAATTTCAAATACCCATGTTCTGCCTCAGGACACTGAGGGATTAAGACAAACTCATGGAGACCTTAGAACTGCTTATGATGGCTTTTTCACCTTAGAGATCCTAAAGCAGTTCACAGATGCTCCAATTAAAGTTCTAATTAAACATGGGTTTGAAATGAGGATTAAGAACTTGTCAAGTGTCCAAATTAAATGTAGCGTTGATAATGACTAAGGTTTATTTTCTGGTACCTATGGGGGAATACGTTGATATACAAAGAGCTCATTTTCTTGTCTACTGCTCTGCTCTGGTTTATTATACATCATGTTTGGTTATAGTAACCCTTTAAAAAGGAAGACAAATAAACATAGAAACATGGCTGACTTCTTGTCCCATATTGCTCCAGCTGATGTGAATGTGTCTCCATTATTTAAGAGAAGTAGGAAGTAGAACCATTTATGTAAACTTGCCAGTCAACTCTTAGTCTGATTTTGTAAGGTCAAAGGAGAGCGTTCTCATTGTATATACAAGCCAGCTCTGTGTCTTTGGAAGCAATTACATAGCTTGCTTAACCTCGTTATGGCTCCCAGTGTGAACCAGGCCTATACTCCTGCTTTCTCGTTTCAGTTGAGAGGGTTCTATTCCACAGTGCTGCTCTAACACACACCCTGCCTTCTGAAGTGATTTATTGCTTATTAATAAAGTCCTATTTAGCGGCTAGCTCAGCAATAGGAAGGAGAGGCTATGGGGAGAGCGCCTTCCCTGGGAACTGATCAAGATATCTCCATCATTTCAGGAAGTAGCATTCAAACAAACAATCCCAGGAATGTTGTGAGAGCTGTGTCTAAGGGGTCAAGTTGAGGCTCTTTTGATGTAGATCAATGACCAAAGAAATTTTGACTGAATTGACATATTTCTGAGAATAAAAAGGATTTTTAAAATGATGAAAGTTGTACATTTAAGTTATAGTAGTTATCAACCAGCGGGTTGTGACCCCTTGGGAGTCATATATCAGATATCCTGCATATTATATATTTAAATTATGATTCATGACAGTGAAATTACAGCTATAAAGTAGCAATACTATAGTTTTATGGTTGGAGGGTCACCACAACACAAGGAACTGTATTAAAGAGTTGGAACATTAGGAAAGTTGAGAACCACTGATTTAGAACACTTGTTGTCTTAGAAACATATTAGAGAACCTATTAATTAGTATCTTCAGAATCTTTTCAGTGATATTTTGAAGGTTTATATCCTCATACACGAAAACAAAATTTTCACATAAATTTTTAGAATATTAAATTTTAGTAAGATTAAATAATTACCCTTAACATTTATGACAAATTTGAATAACTTTCTTAATCAAACCTTTAATAAATAAATACTGATAGATTTTTCTGGGAAAATTTAAGGCATATTCTTAATTTTAAGAGGATATTTCTTGGCAATATACTTATAAGTTTCAATTTAAACTGTTTGGACAAAAGGCAATTTTTTGTTTTAAAATTATTTCATCTAAGATGTTAAAGCACTGTTAAGCTTAGGACAACTGCTAAATTTCCATTTAGCACCTCAATCTTTATTTTGTATTGCAATATAAAGATTTTTTTTAACATAAATTAACCAGTGACTTCTGTCTTAGTTAAAGATTCTGTTGCCATGACAATGCTTATAAAGGAAAACATTTCATTTGGTGATTTGGTTTCGTTCAGAGGCTTATTTCATTATCATCATGGCATGAAGCAGGGTAGTGTGCAGACAGACACGGTGCTGGAGAAGGAACTTAAGAGTTCTTGCATCTTGACTCACAGCCAACAGGAAGTGGTCTGAAACACTGGGCAGTATCTTGAGCATATATGAGACCTCAAAACTTGCCTCCACAGTGACACACTTCCTCCAACAAAGCCACACCTCGTCCAACAAAGTCACACCACCTAATAGTGCCATATCTTTGGGGACCATTTTCACTCAAACCCCCACAATGTCGGTCTCCCTTTGAAGTCCTTGCTCCACCACATGACATGAAATCATCATCAAAGAGGAGGTGGGGAGGAACTGGGAGGAGCAGAGGGAGGGGAAACTGATTCAGATGATATTGATTGAGGAATGAATTCATGTTTTTAATAAGAGGGAAAAAGAATAAAGTCATCACATAAGTTATTTGATTTTAGAACAATTTTATCATATTTAGATGTAGTAAAATTGTTTTCTCAACTGCATTTTCATATATTGCAAAGTACAGACTAAATAAAAAAATTTAAACTCACTCATTCAAGATTTTCCTCATAAATTGGAGCATTTAAGTTGGATTACAGAAGTTTCCATTTATCCATAGCTTTACTTTGCATGACTTCAGTTACCTGAAAATATTCAATGAAAGATTCCAGAAATAAGCATGTTTTAAATAGCATGCCATTTTAGATAGTATGACGTAATTGCACTTTCTTTTACCCCATCCTGGATGGGAACCATCCATTAGTTCAGAGTGTTTGTACTTTTTATGCTACCTACACATTATTTGTTTAGAAATTGCTTCACTTATAAATTGTGCTACTGCAGTACTTTCTTTTTCACTCGAATAGAGAGCTTGGGGCTTTTTGGGTTTCAGAATGTGGTGGGAGGATGGGCTACTGCATAGGTATGCACATTTACTAAAGTTGCCATAAACAAAGTAAAACTGTAGAACACTTAACGCTCCTGTAAGCTAGAAGTCTGGCACGAAGTTCCAGTGGCACTGCACTGGGTCTTGCTAGCAGTCCTTGGCATTCTTTAGGCTGTGTTTGCACTAGTCCAACTTTTCCTCTGTCACCGTTTGGTTCTTCCTCCAATAAGGATCTTCTCTATTCTGACAAGGTGTTACATCCTAGACATACAAGCAAAAGCACACACAAAACGATTGTACTTCCAAATATGGTCACATTCGTAGGGACTAGAATTGAGTTAGCATATTTTTTCCAGAAGGAACAGATTTCTGCATGATATAATTTCAAAATTACTTGCATATTGAATTATTATTTAATCAGTTTATCTCTTTTGTTTATGGAGGGTAAATTTCTGTATAAAAGCTTTTCTTTCATTGATTGCAATTTGCCTTAAAACTTCAAGACTGGAATGTGCCTTCTCTTTTTGGTCCTCTTGTTAATTATATTAATACTTTCCATCAGAAGCACGTTTTATTTGAGATCTACAAATTGATGAGTATAATATTATGTGTAAGTCTATATTCATATCTTTAAGAAGGGAAATCACATTTTACTTTAATTAATGCAGAAAAGTCCTTTCATGCATTTCAATTTCCCCTGATGATAAAGCCGTGAGATAGAAAGAACCTATCTTCACATAGCAAAAGTTACATATGAGAGACCCACATACTAAACGTGGGAGGAACCTTTAGTCTTCTAAAATGTCTAAGGAAACCAGTGTCTGCTCTCCCATTGGTCACTCAATATAGTGTTCAGTTTAGCTAGGGGAATAATCCCAAGAGATAGCAGGGAGATAGATGGGGAAGGAAGAAATCAAATCATCAATATTTGCAAATATCATTTTATATTTAAAAGACATTAAAGGGTCCCCCAGAAACTATTAGAACTGATAAATATTTCTAACAAACTAACAGAGTACAGGATCAGTTTTGAAAAACAGTAGCTTTTCTACATACCAGTAATGAACTTAAGAAAAACAGAAATCAGAAAAACCACATTTATAATAGCTTTTTAAAAAACCTTCTAAATAAACTTAGTCAAGGAAGTGTAAGGCCTCCAAATGAAAAGCTGAAATATTGAGAAAAGAATTTGAAAACACTGAGAGATGGTAAATTCTCTGAGACTCATGAGTTAGCAGAATTAATATTGTGAAAACAGTTATATTAACAAAAAATGTCCTTCAATATTTAAAGGACAATCTTCATTGAACTATAAAACCACTATAAATCTGTATGGAAGCACAAGACCCTAGATAGCAAAATCATTTTTTTATATAAAAGAGCAATGCTGGAGGCATCACAATATTATTTCAAATTATATTACCAAGCTTTAGTAACAGAAATCATGTAGCACAGGCACAAAAACAGACACATAGATCAAATGGATAAAATAGGAGAATGTAAACACACACAAGCACTACCATCTAAGGTATCAAAAACAAACACTGGAAAAAAGATGGGCTCTTTGACAAAGGGCACTGGGAAATCTATAAAGATGAATGAAACTAGGTCCACGTTTTTCATCCAGCACAAAAATCAATTAAAAAAATTACCAAAGCCTGAGGTCAGAAACCTTGAGACTTGCAGAGGAAAACACACATGAAACTTGAAGAGGCAGAGACAGAGGCTCCCGGATCAGCTCAATTCCGCCGAGTCCTGTGTCCAAAGTAAGCAGTCAACCATAGAGTCTCTGCTTCAAGACAACCATGGGCAGAAAGCTTGTATTGTGTTTGAAGTCTCTTGAACTCCCCTGATCAACAACCCCAAGGGAGACTTCACTGCCTGGTACTAGCGTATGGCCTTGGGACATTATCAGCCCAAGTGGTGTAACTTCATTTAGATTATTTATATATGCATATACATACACTGATATGTTATGTTTTTAAGTAAACAGAAAATAATCACCGCTAATGTTCTTTGTACCCCTTCCTCTCTTTCCCTCTGTTTTGCCTTCCTCTCTACTCCCCAGCTATAGCCCTCCTGCTTTTCCTATGTTCCCCTTCAGAGAATCTATACCATACTGTGCCCCTCTTCACGGGTCCCCTCACAGTGATCCTTTTTTACTTTCCCTGCCTCTGTGGCAATACACATTACAAATCAGGCCTGCACAATGACAACAATAGTTGGCATGCCACTGTGGGTGGGGGAATCTCGTAAGGCCCCAGCTCCAGATGAAGACAATTATTAATGGCTGCAAAGAGAAGGACAATCAGTCTTCTTCTCGAGGGAAGAGCCCCGTGATAGGTTACCCAATCTCCAGCCGTCACTCCTAAACATGTAACACTAAATAGACTGAGCGGGTTGTATTTATATATACTCATATATAAATGTGAAATAATAACTAAAGAAGAGGTCATGAATGTGGGAGAGTGGAGAAACACGATAGGAGTTGGTAGAGAGTGTGTTGGAAATGAGGTAAATCCAGTACTTATGTATGAAATTCTCAAAAAAAAAATGTGAGAAGGTACTTAAAAACACAGAATGTTCCAGAAAGGCTTGAGGGCAGTGGAAACAATCACAAGACTGACAGGTGGGATGCTATGAAACTGAAAAGTTTCTACACAGCCAAGGAAGGAATAACCAGAGTTAAGGGACAACTCACAGATTGGGAAACAAAATCCAACTACACTTCAGATATAGGACTAATACCTAGAATACATGAAATTAAACACCAAAACTAAAAATGAGCTGTTTTTTTTTTTCTCCATTGCATCACCTACAAAATGACACAGGGAAAGGGAGTGGGAGCCTTTGGAGTGTCTTGTAAAGACACTAACCACATTTAACAAAGACTTTGTTCCCATGGCTGATCTATAGAGGGCATGAGGCCTGTCTGCTCACAGATAAACACTAGGAAACTCAGAAAGATTAAACACATCAGGTTGTTCCGGTTGTGTGACTGGTTTTCTGTCCAGAAGACAGGAAATGGACATGGTTAATAGCCAGGAGACTGCTGCACTATCTCTATGGCGAGGTCACATCTGTCTCCCGTAGACTCTCATGTTTATTTTAGTCATCCTAGACCCTTATTTTGAGCATTATTTCTCAGCTAATAGAACCCCTCTTTAAGAGACTTGTAACATGTACTTTACAATTGGGAACAGAGGCGGTTAATAACCCAGTGACGTTTACACTATCTATATGTCCGAGGCCATTCCCCAGACCCTTAAGATATCACATGTAGTCAATCCATAGAGCCCATCCTATGGAAGAGGTCACATATCCTTTGAAAAGAGTTTCAATCTAATCATTTATGAGCTTTGTTGTACACATGGGATTGAGTTAATTGTCTCCAGGAAACATTTTTTACAAATTGTCTTGTACTTAAATATGCCTAAAATTAATTGCCCAGTGTCAGATTCTCAGAGTTTGAACTCGCACTGGCTGCTGAGTTGTGCTGAACTGGACTTCCTTCTTGTCTCATAGTCTCTTGGATCATTAGTCGGCTGGCTATGGTGTTTGCAGAGACCCCCACCCTGATCTCCTCCCACTCTCAGAACGGAGAGGTTTAGAATTTCCGCATAAACTTGGGGTGTCATAAACACATTCAGCCTAGAACAATCAAATTATAATGTAGAAGTACAGAAATTCTAATCCTCCAGAAAATCATTAGTATTATTTATGAACCTGAAAATGAGTGCCAGATGTTGTTAGAAAAGTCAAATTTTAGCTGTGCGGTGGTGGCACACGCCTTTAATCCCAGCACTTGGGAGGCAGAGGCAGGCGGATCTCTGTGAGTTTGAGGCCAGCCTGGTCTACAAGAGCTAGTTCCAGGACAGGAACCAAAAGCTACGGAGAAACCCTGTCTCGAAAAAAATCCAAAAAAAAAAAAAAAAAAAAAAGAAAAAAGAAAAGTCAAATTTTAGATGCTCATAATTGTTTTGAATATTTTCATTTCATGTGTCTTTGCCTGCTTGCGTGGCTATGTACCACGTGTGTGCGGTGCCTGTGGAGGCTAGAGGAGAGCCACTGTTCCTCTGGAAATGTAGTTACAATCAGTTGTGAGACGCCATGTGGGTGCTGGGAACTTGTCCTTCCTCTGTGAGAGCAACAGGCGCTCTCAGCCGCTGAGCCATCTTACCAGCCCCACAGCTGTTTTGAACATTCTTGTTCCACACATTCATTCGGCTGAATGTTCTTTATTGACTTTTTAATATTATACTTAGTGCTTTGTTTCCCACAGACGTGAAGCCGTTGTCATCTCAGGAACTGAAATGGCTAAGCAAATCCAAAAAGAAATACAGCAAGGTGTGGAATCATGGATGGCTCTTGGGAACAGGAGGCCCCATCTCAGTATCATTTTAGTGGGAGATAACCCAGCAAGCCACACCTACGTCAGGAATAAGATAAAAGCTGCTTCCGCTGTAGGTGGGTATGTATGTGAGCTGTATTTCTTACTAAATGTTTCTGTTATGTAAAGTAATGTAACTGGGATTGATAATGATCAAATAAGTACCCTTCAAATAACATGGATTATTGTTATTATTAGAGATTATGCTATTACTCAAGTTTATATGAATGTCTTAATGTGTTCAGGTTTCTTATAGAATTATTTCAGTGTGATTTATATTTTACGGGAGAGGCAATAGGAATCTTTGCTTTTAAAAAAGAGTCTATGTGTTGGGGGTGAGGATGCCAGTCAAAGAATCACAAGCTAACACCAAAATATTCCACTTATATTTTCTTTATTATAATGGGCAAACTCATAGAACAGGAATGAGAAGTCCAACTTCAGGTGTGTAACGTGGGAAGCAGAGAGAGAGCGAGCCCTGGGCTGGCCTGAGGTTTTCTCTGGGTACACAAAAGGTCATGCCCTAACCTGGTCTAACCTCTTAAAGGTCATTGGCTGGCAGAAGTCCCCCATCATCTCCCCCTTTTGTCTAAATAAGAGAGTTTCAAACACAATACAAAACTATATACACTAGGAACAGATATTAAGTATAAGATTAGGATTACAACCAGCATAAACAATATTAAGCAAGGAACATATGTCAAATGTTTTAATAAACATTTTATCCTAAAGAGTCTAAGTCTTGTATTGGAAATGGCTTGGCTAAATCATAAGAGGAAGGTAACTACGGCTATCTAATCTTCAACCCCATTGAAGACCTGAGAAGGGAGATAATATTACTTGAGTAGGCATGAAGTACAATCAAGCAGCTTCCAAAATGTGCAGTTTATGACAGAGACAACCAGCTACCTAAGCATTCACCCAAAGTCTCATTTGCAATGTTGAAGCAACCAACTTTGGTTAAGGCCTAGCGTGACTGACAGACTATTTTCAGAGAAAAATTTTCAGAAAATTTGTAGAACCATCTTACCTTTTCTGGGCAAGGTTAGGCAGTCTTTTTTCTTGTGTCCTGCTTATTCAGTCTGGACTCCATGTACTTTGTCAGTGGTGAAGGCATGGGCAGTTCCTTGCCCAAAAGCCAATTGTGCCAAGTAGAAAACAGACTCCAAGTGGAGTGTCTTTGGTGCTCAGCATTCTCTTGGGAACAGATCAGTGCTGTCAGGAGCAATTGTGTCTCACATCAACAGAACCCCAAGTTATTTAAATGCTATGTTCTACAGATTCTTAAAGTGGATAAAATTACCTATCTAGGCAGATTACAATCTCTATGTATCTAAAGAACCTAATTAGTCTGACTATAAGTAAAACAAACATGAATGAATATTGACCTATAGTACTTAATACCTGTATAACTTAAAGACTAAGACTTCATATCAGAATATTAAATAATCTGTAAACAACTGTGCAGTAAATGAGGACAATGACCTCAAAATGTAAACAATGTGTAAGTATCTTAATCAGAGTTAGGAATATATAATGTAATATGATAAATCAAAGGTTCCCCATTACCTGTGTTCACTGCATTCATATTAACTGAATCATAAACTTCAGTAATTTCCTGTCTCGCTTGGTCTCTTCAGATCTTCTAAGAGGGGTTGTCACAAGTCAGTGTAAGTTGTCACATGAAGTAGTAGTCAAATGATGCTTAGAAAACAGGGGAGAATCCCTGTGCGGTCTGAGAAATCCCTCCTTCTGGGAGACTAGAACACTGACTCTGTAGAAGGGCTTTCCCTTCAGTGGGGCAGGGTCAGAGGAGACACACATTGGAGAAGAGCGTGGTCAAGTGACCTTCTCTGCTTCTCTTCCAGGTATCTGCAGTGAGCTCATCCTAAAGCCTGAGAACGTTTCTCAGGAGGAGCTTTTGGATATCACTGATCAACTGAACATGGACCCAAGAGTCAGTGGTATACTTGTGCAGCTCCCTCTTCCAGGTACATGATGCTCTTTTGTGTGTCTGGGTTGGGCAGTAGAAAGGGCTTATCATGGTATTGAAGGCAATTTATAGAACACATTCAGAAGAGGAATGTACAGTAGTAACAGCTAACAGGTTTTTTAAAGGTTTATACTTACAAGATGAAAAACTGAATAGGAAATTTAGGTGTGGGCAAGACACATCTCTGTTTAGCTGGGAGTAATCACAGCTGATTGCAAGCTGAAGGCAGGTGGTGCTTCTAATAAACAATGGGGAAAATTACCAATTTTTTGTGTCTCTTAAAAATTTTTTGTTCAGGTATTAGAAACTATCTTATTGTGGTTTGTAAATGTATAATGACATAAAAAGTAGTGTGTTTAATATTTATTTACAATATTATCTTTTAAAACATTAATCATAAAAGTGTCTGTTTTTCTCTTTGTTTTATTTTTTTAAATCAAATCATGTCAAGAATGGTGTGCATAGCACTCACTAGCTCAGTATGCAACTGATGTGGCGCAAACATCTTTTCAATGGCATGATGGATTGATTTGCCATATTCCTCTCTAAAATATATCTTTTATTTGTACATTCAGAGAATTCCTTAATGTGAAATTTTAGCTGATGTTGCTTCCTTTGGGATTCTGTCTTCCTTTTCATCATGGCCCCATCCCTTATTTTTTATAATTTCTTTTATTTTACTTTTTTAAAAAAGAAAACAAACTATCTTTTTTCATTTTACATAGCAATCCCAGTTCCCACTCTTTACCTTCCTCCTATTCCCTCCACCTACCCCCCATCCACTCCCCAGAGAGGGTAAGGCACATTGCTTTGGGGAAGGTCCAAGGCTCTCTATACTATATCTAGGCTGAGCAAGGTATCCATCCAAAGAGAATAAGTTCCCCAAAAGTCAGTACAAGTAGTAGGGATAAAGGCTGGTGCCACTGCCAGTGGCCCCACAGTCTGCCCCAGCCATACAGGTGTTACCCACATTTAAAGACAGTAGTTTGCACATCTGCTGGTTCCTTTCCAGTCTGGCTGGTATTGGTGAGCTCCCATTAGCTCAGGTAGACTGTTTCAGTGGGTGTCCCCATCATGGTCTTGACCTCTTTGCCCATATTCTCACACCTCCCACTCTTCAGCTGAACTTTGGGAACTCAGCCCAGTGCTCCGCTGCAGTCTCTGCCTCTGTTTCCATCAGTTGCTGGATGAAGGTTCTATGGTGACATTTAAGAGAGTCATCAATCTGACGACAGGAGCCTATCCCTTATTTCTCCCTGACCTTCACTCAGTTCTTCACAGGATGCAGTGCTAGCATTCCAGTTGGTTTGCATGTCCCCATTTACATTTCGGTCAAATTCGGCTGGAGTGACTTACTAGTCTATGTATGTTGGAGTTTTACAATGGAGTTCTTACCTTTGCTTCCTGCTGGCTCTCCTTGCTGCTCCCTGTTTTCCTGATCTACTCACAGATGTTACACTACATTATCGTCTCTTGTTTCTTTTCTCTTCATCTTTACAGGCCAATCTCCTTGGTCTGTTCTATACTTGAATGGTGTCATGTGGGTGTAAGGCTGGAAGCATGCAAAGACACACTTTATGTCTATATTTGAACTACATAATAAATATTCAATTCCCATTCAGGTCTTTGAAAGAAATACGTTGTAGGCAGAGGCTTCTAGAGACCTATTGTACAAAATCATGAGATAGTTAATTTATACAACACATAAATACAATTTTCATAATTAAAAATATTTCAGAGGTACCTTCCAAATCACTATATTTCCTTATGTCAGACATTTTGAGTACATTGTATTTAGTTTGTCCTAACTACATCAGATTTTAATCTAATGTTGCCTTTGTGACCAGTGACTTTGTTACTAGTGGCCACTAGATGGCACTGGTGATCTATCTGTACAACCGACAAACCTGCTTGAATTCTCTATTCCAGAGTAATAGGAACCCCAGCAAATAAATGTGAGGGTGGTTTGAGAGACGAAACTTTTCTATATGCAAAGTCAATAATATGTGCACAAAATACCAGGGGGATCATCCACCAAACTAAGTCTTTGTTATATGAAGATTTCGTATTTACCAATTCAGTTTGAATCCTCACAGTAACTCTGTGGGGGTGGAGCTATCATGGTGTGTATTTGGTGACAAGAACACAGAGGTCAAGTCCCTTCCTTCTGAGTAACCATATCTGGATCCAGGCAGGCTGATCCCCCACGCTAATATTTGAACCATAATTGATACAGTTCCAGGGTATCAGCATTAGCTAGTGGATAAAGTAAATGTTAGACGTGTATGAATACATGTTATACCTTTTAATATTCAGAGAGACAGTGATGCTGGAAAAGATGGGTTCTATAATGAAATTGTCTGGACTTTAGTCTTGGCCCTGCCATTCACTAATAGATAACATTAGTCATCTCTTTGTCTCAGTGTTTCCCCCTGGCAAGTGAAGAAAATCCTGCATACTTCATAGCCTTTTTTCCCCCTAGCATTAAATAAAATAACCAGCATAAAGGAGGACTTGACACAGAAGATTAATTTTAAATTTTGACATATTTCGTGATAGCAATCAATCTGATGTAACTTGTCACCATTAAATCTTTTTTGGTTTAAGTTTTCAGAAAAGACGCCAAAGGAATACTAGGTCCAGGAACCAAGACGAGATGTAAAACAGGTTGGGACAGGAGTAGAGATGGCTTAATAGGTAGATTATTTGTGTGATGGAAAATATAGATTGTTGTCAAGGTGATAGCTTTTGTTTTGGGTGACAAATTTCTTATACCTATGTTACGAAGAAAAATAAAGAATCCACTGAAATGTGGGTGCTTTGGGGTTTAGAGAAAGAGGGGTGGCTCTGTTGGTTAAGTGCTATAAAAATGTGACAATCTAATTTTGGGTTTCTGGTTCCTATGTAAAAAGCTGGGCATGATGCTGCTTGCCTATAACCCTAGCACTGGGGAGGCAGAGGCAGGAGGACCCGAGGACCCATGAGACTTGCTTACTATTTTATCTTGCCAAATCTGCATGCTCCTGTTCATTGAGAATCTATGCGGGATTCCCCTCTGTATGCTGTGAATATGTTTTATTACTGTTGTTTAATAAAGAACCTGCTTTGGCCTATGGTAGGGCAGAATATAGTAAGTCAGGAAATTGGAGCAGAAATAGAGGAGGAAAGAAGGCAGAATCAGGGAGATGCCATGCAGCTTCTGAAGGAGAGAGATGCTGGAACCTTACCACAGCCCTGCGGTGAACATAGATTAATAGAAATGGGTTAATTTAAGATTTAAGAATTAGTTAATAAGAAGCCTGAGCTAATAAAGCAAACAGTATTGTAATTAATACAGTTTTTGTGTGATTATGTCTGGGAAGCAAAAGAGCAGTCTCAGTTTACAAGAATCTAGTTCAAAAGGCAAGGAGGGGAGTGACAGGGCAAGATGGCTGATGTCAGTCTCAGGCTTCCACAGACATGAACACATGCACACATATACAGCACACGCACAGACATACAAGACAGCTGATGTCAGTCTCAGGCTTCCACAGACATGAACACATGCACACATATACAGCACACATACATACACACAAGACAGCTGATGTCAGTCTCAGGCTTCCACAGACATGAACACATACACACATATACAGCACACACACACACACACACACAAACAGCATGCACGAACACAGGCACTCACACAATACATTAAAGATGAATATCATCAACAATAAATTATCATGTCATAAAGCTGTGAATTATGGTTAATTCAATTTAAGATTCATTTTAAAACAATTTTAAAATAAAATTATTTTGAAAAGAAACATTTTGCTTCAGATAATTTTATCATGATTTTCAAAATCCCATTTTCATAATGTTATTTGTCTACTTAAAAATTTTGTAGATAACTTTTTTAATGAGGTAAAAGACAAGAAAAAAGGTGGACAACTGTCCTGCAAATGGAATGTATTTCCACTAGGTGGCAGCATTATGCAAGTACCTTTTTTTATTAAAATTTTTTTTATTAATGGAACCCTGAATGCTCTTTGGGCTGACGAGGGAGGGGGACTTGATTGGGGGAGGGAAATGGGAAGCGGTGGTGGGGAAGAGACAGAAATCTTTAATAAATAAATAAATTAAAAAAATTCTGCCTCCTCTCCCCGCCTCCCTTTTCCCTTCCTCTCCCCCTACTCCCTACGTCCCCTCCCCTCCCCCTCCCTCTCCAATCCAAGGAGCAGTCTGGGTTCCCTGCCCTGTGGGCAGTCCAAGGTCTTCCCCCCTCCATCCAGGTCTAGGAAGATGAACATCCAAACTGGCTAGGCTCCCACAAAGCCAGTACATGCAGTAGGGTCAAAACTCAGTGCCCTTGTCCTTGGCTTCTCAGCAGCCCTCATTGTCCGCCATGTTCAGAGAGTCCAGTTTTATCCCATGCTTTTTCAGTCACAGTCCAGCTGGCTTTGGTGAGCTCCCAATAGATCAGCCCCACTGTCTCAGTGGGTGGGTGCCCCCCTCGCGGTCTTGACTTCCTTGCTCATGTTCTCCCTCCTTCTGTTCCTCATTGGGACCTTGGGAGCTCAGTCCATTGCTCCAATGTGGGTCTCTGTCTCTATCCCCATCCATCGCCTGATGAAGGTTCTATGGTGATATGCAAGATATTCATTAGTATGGCTATAGGATCAGGCCATTTCAAGCTCTCTCTCCTCAGCTGCCCAAGGATCTAGTTGGGTACATCTCTCTGGACTCCTGGGAACCCCTCTAGAGTCAAGGCTCTTGCCAACCCTAAAATGTCTCCCTTAATTAAGATATATACTTCCCTGCTCCCATATCCATCCTTCCATTATCCCAACCATCCCATTCCACCAAGCTCTCCCTATCCTCCCCTTCTCACTGGTCTCTCCCCATCTCCCCTTTTCCCCATCCCACCCCACCCCCCAAGTTCCCAATTTTTGCCCAGAAGGAGTAAAAGACTGAAAATAATCAAACTGAGGGCTGAAATCAACAAAATAGAAACACAGAAAACAATCTAAAGAATCAAAGACAAAAAGTTGGTTCTTGGAGAAAATCAACAAGATCGACAAACCCCTATCCAAACTAATCAAATGGCAGAGAGACAACACACAAATTAATAAGATCAGAAATGAAAAGGGGGACATAACTACAAACACAGAGGAAATTCAGAGAATCTTTAGATCTTACTACAAAAGCCTGCATGCCACAAAACTGGAAAATGCAATGAAATGGACATCTTTTTAGATAAGTACCATATACCAAAGTTAAACCAAGACTAGGTGAACAATATAAATAGATCTGTTAGTCACGAAGAATTAGAAGCTGTTATCAAAAACCTCCCTTCCAAAAAAAGCCCAGGACCAGATGGTTTCAACGCAGAATTCTACCAGAACTTCCAAGAAGCGCTAATACCTATACTCCTTAATGTATTTCACAATAAAGCAAGCACCTTTTACAACTGTTCTGGAGGTCTGTTTGTTTCTGGAGCCACTAATGTGTCTTTCTGTTCATGCCAAGGTATAAACCATCCAAAGAGGGTTTGTTTTATTGTCCAAGTTCATAGACATACCTTTTTTTGAGATGACTTCTTAAAACAAAATCACACACATAAAAATAATAACAACAACAAAACTACTTAAAATTCAGGAATTTCGAAAACAACAGTATTTTTCTGCTTTTCTTCCCATCTTTGCTTTTTCCTTTATGATCTGTTTTTTTAGTGTATTCATCTCAAAATCCCATTTGCATAGTGTATATTTCTTTTTTTAAAAAGTCTTTTAAAATATATATATGAACAACACTAAATGAACTCAATGGGGCACATTTAAATATTTATGCACTTATAACAATATATTATTTCCTCACCTGTAACCATTAAAGTAAAAGAGATCATGAATGACACAGGAGTTGGACTAGAGGTGTGTGAGAGGCAGAGGGAGGAGGAGGGGGCTGATATAAAAACAGTACATAAGAAATTTAAAAAATCATTTAAATTTAAAAAATAAAATACATGTATTTATAGGCTGTGTATTATTGAATTTAATTTCCAAAAGCTCTGGCCCGATAACCCAGGGGAGATGGATAGTTAAGGAAAAATCTGAATCTAAATTATTGTTCCTGAGACCTTGGCAAGCAAGGTTGTACATAGAGGCTGCTTGTTCATTTCCCTGCTGCCCAGGCCTGAAATAATTACACAGAAACTACATTAATTACAATACTACTTGCCCAATAGCTTAGGTTTCTTATTTACTAACTCTTACGTGTTAAATTAACCCATTTCTATTATTTTATATTTTACCATGAAACTTGTGGTTTACTGCTAAGGTTTCTGGTCATCTGTCTCCTTTGGTGGCTGCATGGCACCTCTCTGACTCTGCCTTCTTTCTCCCAGCATTCAGAAGAATAAGGGCCACATTAGATGTGTATATAATCTTCAGCTCACACCAGAGAATCATAGACTCAGATAAAGCCAAGCCTAAAAGCATCATAGGATGTATAGATTCTAACCCTCATGGGGTATCTGTAAAGTAGCTCCCAGACATCCTGAACAGTCTCTGTGACTGTAGGAGAGGGAGGCTGCAGGTACATGGAGAAAAAAAATTCACCTGGAGCAGCTGTTCTCAACATGTGGGTCAAGAAAGACCACCAGAAAACAGATGTTTACATTGTGATCCATAACAGTAGCAAAATTACAGTTGTGAAGTTGCAAGGGCAATAATTTTATGGTTAAGGATCACCACAGCATGAGGAAATATATTAATGGGTCGCAGTGTTAGGAAGGTTGGGATCCACCAGCCTAGAGGATCCCCACCGGCTCCGTTTCCAACCTTTACCAGACTCAAATTTGGAGTTGCAGTGGTTTCCATGAGGTGAGATTCACTTCCCATTCCTTTTCTGTCTCCCCACCTCTCAAAGATAAAATAATTTATGGATGATATTGGACAAGGAGGCATTTTATAAGTATTATCTGTCTTGAGTTTTTTTTTTTATGTAGAATACAAAGAATGTTTATTGAGACTACATTTAAACTGTTTGGGCAAATATTTGCGCCATTAGAATGTAAGTTCCAAAGAACATGAATTTTGTCTTTGGCTCACTTACACATCCTAACTCCCCATTGGACACATTGCTGTGGAATATTATTTTAAGCGAGCAAAGATGTGTTACAGTTGTTTATGCTACAGGATTTTGCTTTAACTGTGTAAAGGTGTGTTACTCTTGTTTGTGCTGTGTTTGTTTAATTATGTAAAAATGTAATGCATTTGTTTCACCTTGCCTGCCTAAGGCACCTGACTATTCTAATAAAGAGCTGAACGGCCAATACCTAGGCAGGAGAGGGATAGGTGGGGCTGGCAGGCAGAGAGAGTAAGTAGGAGGAGAAATCTAGACAAAAGAGAGAAGAGAACTAGGGGGAAAAAGAGGGACGTGCTCAGACAGGAGCCAGACAGCCACCAGCCAGATAGACATGAGAAGTCAGTGAAAGAGATACAGATGGAAAGAAAGGTAAAAGGCCCTGAGTCGGAACGCTGATGAAGAGAAATGCTGTAAATTAGAAGGTCTAGTGGGACAAGCACAAAACATGGCTGAGCTTTCATAACTAATAAGAAGTCTTCATGTCATGACTTGGGAGCTGGGTGGTGGCCAAAAGTCTGGTGCAACACATCGAACACATTCAACTATCAGTTGAGTGAATATACGAGTGAATTTTCAAATCCTTACATGCTAAGGGTGTGAACATTATCTTCTTAGCATGAAGCTATGTGTGGAAGTTTTTATTTTTCAAGACTTGAAAGAAATATTTTACTTTAAGTTGATATTGGATAATATAGTAGTGCCAGGTATTCAAAATATAAACATATCTCTCAATATATTTCAGAATCTAATATAGTGTTAAGATTAAGACTGCAGTGAATTTTTAAGTCAGTTTGGGAAAATTGAAACATTGTGTTTTCCAGTCCATGAGAGAATATGACTTGGTCCACTGTCAGCAATCTTTTGTAGTTCTTATTACAGGAGTTGTTCTCAAATTTTTAGAAAAATTTATTCCTAAGAATGTTGTTGCTTGTTAGGCATTATAAATAGTAGCTTAAAATAATTTTATTGTTTGATGATTGCAGCTTGCATGCTGAAATGCATCTGGTCTTTGTGTACTGACTTCATGCTGTGTGTTCTTGGCTGAACTGACTTTGACAGTTCTGTCCTTACCTTACAACCTCTTTAGATAGCCAGAATAAGCAGCAGATGGACACTCAGGATCAATTATGTACTTTTTTAAAAAAATATTTACTTACTTATTTATTTATTTATTTATTATGTATACAATATTCTGTCTGTGTGTATGCTTGAAGGCCAGAAGAGGCAACCAGACCCCATTACAGATGGTTGTGAGCCACCATGTGGTTGCTGGGAATTGAACTCAGGACCTTTGGAAGAGCAGGCAATGCTCTTAAACACTGAGCTATCTCTCCAGCCCGGTTACGTACTTTCTTTGTGACTTCTATGACTCTTTCTTTTTCCTATGGTTTTCAGTGAGGACCTTGACTCCAGAGGTGAATAGAAATGGGAGTGGACTCCATGGTCTTCTGATCTTCAGGCTCAAGGATCAGTGTTTTCCTCCTAAGGCTGCTGGCTAAGGATTTGGAAAATGGCTGTACCAGATTGACACTCTGGCTATGTTTTCTTCCTGGGTGCGCTGCAGCTGTAACCCTGTTTCCTTGCCAGTCCTCTCACCTTTTCACCTGGGCTTTGAGGAGTTTGCTTTTTCTTTATGTTGTTAGGGGGTTTGCCAGAGGTTTTAGCAGAATTTTTGCACATTTGGGTAGCTTCTGTGACCTCCTGTTTTACTTAATCTACAGTGTTCAATTTTTTAACACACCAATTAGTGGCCATGTCTTGTGGTGGAGAAAAGTGGATTTGGTCCCCTTAAATCTTCAAGCATGTTGAGGCAAAGACATGTGCCCACTTGTGGCTGCGTTTCCTAGGAATTGTTCATGCCACACAATTCTCCAGTCCAGCCACTATATTCTCTTAGGAGCCTATGCTCTAGGTGCAGCCAATCACAGCTACCATCCAAGAGCAATTCAGTTTACTATTTTGATGGCAAGAATAGAACAATAATTTTACGTGTCTTGGAGCTGATCTATCTATAGTTCCCCGTTTTTCATTCTCCGGGCTTTCACATAAACATTAATTTTAAAAGAGACCAATTGTATTTACTTTTCAGACCATGTGGATGAAAGAACAATATGCAACGGAATTGCCCCAGAAAAGGACGTGGATGGATTTCATATTATCAATATTGGAAGACTGTGCCTCGACCAGCGTTCTTTGATACCTGCCACTGCCAGTGCTGTCTGGGAAATGATCAAAAGAGCAGGTTGGTCACTTGGGAGTGTGGGAAACTAGTACCAGATGCATGGGAGCTCTGGAGCCTTGCTTGGGTAGAACTTCCTGTGTATACAAGCAACAAAAATGATAAGCAGAAAATTAAAGGCTATGAAAATATTATACATTTATGAATGTCATGGAACAAGTCAGAATGGACGGAAGTGAAGAACATCTGCCAGTTGATCAGCCACTCCAGTCGTAGCTTATAGCGAGTGGACCTTCCAGATGTGGCCATGTCTTCCGACTTTGAAATTATGCATTTTGATGAGAATCTTTCCCAAGTGTAGACTATTTTCTTACTAAGATAATGTGTCAATTAAGCAAGAACCTCGTCTGTTGACAGTGGCTTCTACTGTGCTAGACACACTGGTGTTCTCACAGGCTGCTGGGTACGTTCCTGAAGCTCTGTGGCTTTGCACACTGGTGTTCTCACAGGCTGCTGGGTACGTTCCTGAAGCTCTGTGGCTTTGCACACTGGTGGCTTTCCTGCCCCCACCACGGTCACTGCCCTCTTGGAAGCACTCCGAGAGAAAGCAGATTCTAGAATCAAACACTTGGCTATCCATACTTGGATAAACGTCAGTTCCATTTTTTTTTTTTATTTTACCTGTGAAGATATATGGTTCCCCCACATGGCAGAGAGCTGGCTTTCAGAGTAGGGCTTCTTCCTGTTGGAGTAAAGTGTGTGTTATCCGCTTTATGTTATCCCAGTCTCACTGGCAGGCTGACTGCCATTGCAGCTTAATATGGCTGCATGAACTTCTTAGTCTGATTAGCGGGTAATGTATTTAAAGACTGTATACTTCATATGCAACTCAGTGTTTAAAATGACATTAGTGGCAACTTGAGAATTTTTGTGGTTTGTAAATGAGGACATAATGAGAGGGGAAATGGCAAATCCAAGAAGTGTAAAAGGAAATATTTATAAATAATTCAGTGAGGGCATGCTGCGGACCAGGTAGAAAATCCAAATTTAATTAGACATTTTTAAAGAACATTTCAGTTGGCTTTTCAGATGTTTCACTTGCTTTTTTTGTTAGTCATGCATTTAATCAAACTGTATTTTTTTTTTAAGGAATTGAAACATTTGGGAGAAATGTGGTAGTAGCAGGGAGATCCAAGAATGTGGGCATGCCGATCGCCATGCTGCTGCACACGGACGGGGAGCATGAGCGCCCGGGAGGTGAGTGCCCTGCAGGGCTTTGAGGTGGGACCCCTGATGATGTGTGTGACTCTGCACACTCATGGGTCTGTGCGGCTCATCTCATGGTGTGAAAGCCTTACAAGTACCAAAAGGAATTTCTGATATATTAGCTACTTTCCTTCTGCTGTGAGCAACACTGCCTGCTAGAGAGTTTATTTGGGGCTTACAGTTTTAGAGGGTCAGAGTTCATGATGGTGGAAAGGAGGTAGCTGGTGGCTTACTTGAGTAAGCAGGAGGTGGAACACACTGAGAATAGCAGGAGGCTTCGAAACTCAAAATCCAGAGACATATATCTTCCAACACAGTCACACCTCCCAGTCATTCAGTAGTTCCTCCAACCGGAGACCAAGTGTTCACATGCATTAGCCTCTCGGAGCTCTCCTTGTTCAAACCACTACTGCTGAAAATATGTGACCCTTTTGGTCCATTTCTTTTGCTTTCTTTCTTCCTATTTTACTTATGGCTGTATGGTTTTGTTTTGTTTTCTCAGTAACAATATAGACATTAAAAAAGGATAAAAGTCACTACATACTATTCTCACAGCTGAAGAATACTGGTTCACCCTGGACTTCAGATAGCACTTTTATGTTAAGCCAGGTAAGCCAGAAGACACTTTACAAGAATACACTACTTCTTGTGGAAAATGTTGATTAAGAGACAAGAAAGTCTTTCTTTATTTTCAACATTCAGTTTTCTCGACTTATTAATAGGTTACAAAGCATCATTCTGAGCCCATGTTTTGATGAGCACTTTCTCATAAACTGTCTAGCCTGTTTGCAATAATTCTGGTACAAAGAATTAATTATTATTCCCATTTTACAGATAAAGCTTGTAAGGTTTTTGTGGGCTTTGAGGAAGTGTCTGTCTCAGAACTGGGAGCTAGGGATGAGCACCTGCCAGGGTTAGGAGCATTGATCAAGATATAGACTCATTGCTGATTCTATGACTTTCAACAGCCGATTATCCTTTGTAGACTTTTACTTTTATTGTCTGAGACATGCATAGCCTTAATATACTCTCTCAGTTATTGGGAAAATTAAATGAAATAGAAGTTTTAATAAAGCACTAGTTACAATGTATTTGAGGTGTTAATACCTGACACACAGTAGATTTAGTTATTGCATGTAGCCATGACAATTGCTGTTGTTTCAGTAAGTCTCAAGTTGATAACTTGTAACATACTGCTCACCTGTTTACAGAAAAATGCCCTGAAGTTAATGATGATTTCTTCCTTGACTTTAATTTGAAACTTAGTTTTTTCCCGATGAACTTTATTTTTGTTTTTAAAAATCGTATTTAGTTTTTTTTTAACATTTGAATAAATTCAGTTTATGAAGGCTTACAAAGCCATGGGTAGACATTTGCTGCCATGATACTCCAGCACTGCTTGACAACATGCCTTTTCTTGCAGGCTTTACTGTTACATGCTGATTTCTTGTCATATTTCAATTATGAGTATTTATAAACCACCTTAGACAAACTATCCCCATTTAATTCAATTTTAGGCTACCTAATACTATGTTACAAATATTGCCTTATACATTTTAGCAGATGTAGCTATTTATAGATACATACATATGTATTAAAATATCAAAATAAATGTAAATTTGTGGTGTTAATGATTTTTTGAGGAAAGAATTATGGACTTAAACTGATTATTTTTAAAACATCTCATATTTTGTTCAATAAAATTTCTCTCCTTAATGAACACTAAGATGAAATACATGGAGAATCATTTATAATGCTGCTTTCAAGCCAGTTGGTTAAATTTACCTTTATTATAGGGCGCCCTACTTCCGTTAGGATTGTTGTATCTAAAAGATAACAGATTATACTAAAGATGATATTAGAGTTTAGGCACATGGGTGTTGTGTAAATACATACACATTTAGTAGGATCATGGTGACATCTATTATTGATATAATGAACTGCAGTAAGCGACTTAGTGACTATTTGGAGTGTGTGGGAAAGTTAGGGTTTGGATGTCTTGGCCTGGCAGAGCAGTAATTACATGCATTGTTAGCTAATGGAGATAATGAAGGTGGATTAACTGCAAATTCATATCTAAGGAACTTGCTCTAATGACACAGTGTTGAGTATTTAGCTCACATTGTGTATTGTTTTGCCTGAAGAGACTCAGAGCCTACTAATTCATTTTTTAATCTCAAGGACAAAAATAATTTCGCTAAAAGGAAAAGACAGCTATACTGTCAATTAGTTTAATATGTGTCTGTTCCCAATTCACTTTAACTTTTGGCATTAAGAGCCCGAAGCTCAGGTATTTGTAAGAAAAATCCTTTAGTTTACTGAGCTGTGTGTGTAGGGGGGGTGCGGAGGAGTGGTGCTTGCCACGTTCAGGAGTGAGAGTGTACTTAAATCTCTAAGTGAGAAACCCACACTGCTGCCCCTGTCAGCGGGAAGGCTGCACCCTTCACCCTCAGCATTGGACAGAAGCAGGGAGGAGGCCTCAGGCTCTGCAGGGAGCTGGGGAGGAGTTCGGCCCCCACAGAGCTCCTACCTGGAGAGACTGATTCTCTCCTCCTTGACAGTCTTGGTGGAAGTGAGTGATGAAGGGAGCAGGGGAATTTGTGAAGATTCTGTGAGAAGCAAACATTCTGCTACTTCAGGCAGCCCACAGGCTACCATGAAGTGACATCACAAGGTAACAGAAGTAAATTGTGTCTTGTGAAACTCAGCGCTTCCTACAGTGTTTAAGAACCATTGTGACCCTGAGTTCCTTGCTCGTGCTCCGTCTCCTTCTGCTCCTGATTTGGACCTTGAGATTTCTGTCCGGTGCTCCCATGTGGGTCTCTGTCTCTGTCTCCTTTCATCGCCTGATGAAGGTTAATATTCATGAGGATGCCTATGTGTTTGTCTTTGGATTCACCTTCTTATTTAGCTTCTCTAGGAACATGAATTATGGGTTTTTGATCTTACTGCACGTACTGGCTTTGTGGGAGCCTAGGCAGTTTGGATGCTCACCTTATGAGACCTGGATAGAGGTGGGCAGTCCTTGGGCTTCCCACAGGTCAGGGAACCCTGATTGCTCTTCGAGCAGATGAGGGAGGGGGACTTGTTCGGGGGAGGGGGAGGGAAATGGGAAGCGGTTGCGGGGACGAGGCAGAAATCCTTAATAAATAAATAAATTTAATAAATAAATAAATAAATAAATAAATAAAAGAACCATTGTGACCATCATGAGGTTTTAGGGTATTCTTTTTTTTTTTTCAAATTTAACTTTTTCTAAATTCTTTGTGGTTTTCACATCATGCATCTGAGTCCCACTCTCCTTTCCATCCATCCTCTACCCTTGCAACTGCCCTGACCTGGGGAAGAAAAGAAAAGAAAAATCCCGCTGTGGAAGCTGCAGAGTGACATAGTGAGCCACACGGTCCTTTAGTCCGTACATTGTTACTTGTAAGTGTTCATTGCATTTGAGGTCTCTGTTTTTTTGCTTTATCATCAATACTAGGCCCTAATGGGGCTCCTATTTGATATCCTGTAATCCTGTGTCAAGGAGATCCTGGGTCTGCAGGACCTTCTTGTGGAGAGTTGTCCCTGAGGTCACTAGAGTAAGGCACCTGGTCCCACCTGCAGCACAAGAAAGAGTAGCCCCTTGAGTAGGCAACACAGTAGAGCTGCCCCTGGTGATTTAGGTGTGGGCAAGCCAACCCTGAAGACATATGAGCAGGAGAATCACTCCGCCCCTTGCTGCTCACTACATAGGGTTAACTAGCCAGGGCAGTACTGGAGAGTTCACCTGGTCTTGAGGATGAAGGAGAGCTGGTGGACTGACCAACCCTGCCACCACCCAAATGCAGAGCAATGAGTTGGCCCATCCCACCATCCATCCCATCTAGGGTATATTCTTGACATTTTTATATGTAGCAACAGAAGAAGCTTCCCCTTTCTCCGAGAATGGAAACCCAATACTACTGGCTTTTAAGCCCAGTGACTTTGTCTAGCTTTCCCATAAGGAAGGAAGCCTGGGGAAAACCCTCTAACAATGCCTTTAAAAACATTTTTTTTTCCATCATGATAGCAGAGAGCCCTCCTCCATCAAGGTACTATAACTATTACCTGTCAGAAGTAGAATTTAGAATCTCATTTTACTTCCCATTCATTTAGAGAAAGCTCCTCCTGCATACGTTCACTCTTAAGCAGCACATCTCACTAGAAGTGACCAATGAGGTGGCCATGACATTGGTTACACGCTCTTTAACCGAAATGTGGTAGCATTGCTAAGAGTGCACAAGACTTGGTCTCTTTCTTCCAAACTCAGTGCTCTTCATCTTCAGATTCACTGTTGGAAGGCGCGTTTTCTCCAAGCACTGGCCACATGGCACCATCTGTATGCTGTGATTACCATTAATGAATAAAGAAGCTTTGGACTTATAGCAGGGCAGAACTTAGTTAGGTGGGGAAAACTAAGCTGAATACTGGGAGAAAGGAGGTAGAGTCAGAGAGATGCCATGTAGCCCAGCCAGAGATAGATGCTGGATTTTTTCCCGGTAAACTATAGCCTCATGGCGATACACAGATTAATAGAAATGGGTTAAATTAATATGCAAGACTTAGCCAATAAGAAGCTAGAGCTAATGGGCTAAACAGTGATTTAATTAATACAATATCTGTGTGGTTATTTTGGGGTTAAGCAGCCAGGAACTAATTAGTGGCCTTCTTACTATATCCAACATTTATAGTCAACCTGACCAGCTAACTATGCTTCCTTTTCTCTTTCTTTGAGATGTCCTTTGATTGTTTGGTTTTGATTTTTTGAGAAAGGGTTTCTGTGTAGCCCTGGCTGTCCAGGAACTCACTCTGTAGACCAAGCTGGCCTCAAACTCAGAGATCCCTGCATCTGCCTCCTAAGTGCTGGGATTAAAGGAGAGCACCACCACCACTGGCTTAAGTAAAAATCTAAGTAAGTTTTTGTTATCTAACCCACGGTGTCAGTTAGGGTTACTATTGCTGTGATG